CTGTGGGTGTTTTTATCAAATCATGTTGACGAATTTCCCTTCTATTCCTAGTTTGTTGAGTGTTTTTATCATGAAAAGGTGTTGGATTTTTTTCAAATGCTCTGTGTATCAATTGAGATGCTCTTTTGTTTTTTTTGTTTTCCTTCATTCTATTAATGTTCTGTATTACATTGATTCATTCTTATGTTGAACCACTCTTGTATTCCCACTTGCTCATGCTATATAATCTTTTTAATGTGCTGTTGCTATGTTTGCTAGTGTCTTGTTGAGGAGGATATATGTATCTATATTCATAAGGATAACAGTCAGTAATTTTCTGTTATGTCTTTGTATGGCTATGATCTCAGGGTAATGCTGGCCTTATAAAATGAGTTAGAAAGTGTTCCATCCTCTTCTATTTTTTGGAAGAGTTTGAGAAGGATTGGTGTTAATTCTTCTTTAAATGTATGGTATATTTCACGAGCCAAGCCACCTGGTTCTAGGCTTTTTCTTGTTGGGAGGTTCTTGATTTCTGATTCAATCCCTTCACTAGTTAAAAGTCTGTTGAGATTTTCTATTTCTTCTTGAGTCAATTTAGGTAGTTCGTGTGTTTTGGGGAAGTTATTTCATCTAGATTATCTATTTTTTTTTTGGTGTGCAATTGTTCTTGTATTGTTATAATCCTTGTAATTTCTGTGTGTTTTGTTGACAGATGAAACTGCAGAGTGTTTCCATTTCCTAATTTGTGGAAATTTGAGCTGTTAGATCCTCCTACTGTGGAGTATCAGGCTTACCTTTGCTCTGAAGGGGGCTATTCTCTGGGATCCTTCAGTCTCAGGACCAAAGGAATCTACTATTCATCCTGGAGAATGTTCTGCTATGTGCCCGTGGTTCAAGAACACAGTCAGAATCAATCATGATTAGGTATCTTTGACCTTCTGTCAATCAGTGTGGCAACTATGTGGAAGAGTCATAAGAAAAATGTTAGTGTGACCTTCATTGTTCTATTAGAAAGCGTACATGTTAGTGGATCAAAGTGGACAATAGGAAGGGTTATGTATGAGAGAAATGCCTATCACTAACATTTGTGATATGTATCTCAAGTGTCCTAGAGCAAATCTATAAGATATGTGGAAAATACCTGTGATTTAAAAAAAAAAAAAATATGGGTCATTGAAAATAATATTGCAATTCTACTTTATGCTTGTTTGAAAACTAAATTGTTCTAGCAAGCCCAACTTATCTGTAAATATGTGTGATATGAAAACACTGGGTCACTGAATATAGTCACATTTCAGAAGTGCTACAGATTGCTGCAGCCATATTAATTGTGTTGTTCTAAAAATGAACTCCAGTGATAACAAAAAGTTATAGTTTCTTTTTTGAAATTATTTAGTTAAAAACTAAATGGAACCCCTGGGAATCTAGAGGATCTATTATTTATACACCTTTTCATAATCATGTAATTTCTCTGTCCCAGTGGATTGTCAATGGAATTTTCCAAAACAAGTGAAATAATTAAGGGATTGTATCCCATTTGACCTAAACCTTGCTTAAATATGGCTTTGCTGTACAGCAACAATTCCTTGGAGCCTATCCCTACTGATGCAGTGGATGTATCAGTGGGGCACGCTTGCTATTTATTAACAATACAGAAATATTTGATTCTTCTATTTGTACCAGAATTTACAAGTGGACTATTCCAAGCAAACTATTAACAATTGAGCATCCATTTGCTGCATAAACAGTGCTTGGTGTTTTTACCTATATCATATCATATAATACAAGAATCACATGAGGTATGTATTATTTTCCCTCTTTATAGGTAAAGAAATAGAAGATCAAAAGACTTTTGTAATTTGTCTAAGATTCCTTAGACAGCAAGAGGCAGGGATGGAAACTGATCCCAGGTCTACATGGCTCAAAATCTCAGGTTATTTCTGCACATCACTTTGCCTTCCATGCTGGTGCTTATATCCAACTTTGAATTCATTTGTATCCTTCACGTGTCTATTATTTTATTTAAAAATATAATCCATTTCTTTTTTGAATCTGTACCTATTTGAGAAAGTCCCTAGACTATCCTTTGCCTCATTAAAAAAAGGCAGAACTTAATAATTCAGACACGCAATCCGAGTACTGTTCATAACATGGCATATCATTGTGATGATTCACATGTAACCTTGACTGTTTCCAATTTTAAGGAGTTGAATGTGATAGCATGCTTGGCTAAGAGCATGACTGCTGATTGTTATGTATGTATGTTTTCTTCAATCTTCTTCATATTGAAGGTTTTGAAGAAAAAGTAAGTTATTCTGAAGAATGGGTTGGTCCTTAAATTAAAGGAATCATGGGAATAAATGTGACTTATCTATTTTTTTCCTATCCTTGATTGTGTGCTCTATTTTGAACACAGGGACAATTATTCTATGAAGCTAATCTGTCTTTCAATCTAATTTCCTAGCTTTCTTAGAGTGGCTACTTCCATCACTACCTCCCTAAGCCTCCTCAAGTGCCTGCACTTCTTATATCCTTACAGTTGCCTATTAGAACTGGTTGAACTAAAACTTACCTAATGCAGTTCCCCAGATACTTTAGTTCACTTTCAATTTAATCTTAGCCCATAAAAATACCTAGACTCTTCTTACTGCTTCAGACAATCCTATAAATATGAAAAGGTATGGTGTAGGAGATAAATCTTGTTGGACTTTGCAAAATATCCAGGATGTGTAGCTCATGACAATAGTAATAATTCTATTTGGGCTTTTCAGTTTGAATGTAGGCACTTTCTAACTTTTAGTATCAACGATTATAAGTAAGGATTTTTTTTTTTTTAATTCCAGGAAAAGTAGCAAGTAAGAAAGAAAAAGATGTCAAAGTTAACTCCACGTTTGTTGGCCCAATCAACTGGATAAATGGAGATAGCATTTACTAAGATAGAGAACACTGGGATGGTACTGGAAAATCAAGAGCTGGCCTTTCTAAAAAAACATTTAGGTTGTTTACAGTTTTATCTTATTACAGTCAATGCTGCTGTGAACATCCTTTACATATCTCCTACGCATCTGGGGAAGACTTTCTCTAGGGTACAAATAGGACTAGAGTAGCTAGACGCTAAGGTAATTGAGTGTTCAATTTTAAAATGTTTTTAAGTTTGAAAAGAAGATTTGTGTGCATGAAATATCTCACATAAGAGGTAGAATTACCATTTAAAATTTTGATTATAAGATTATTTTTAAGTATAGACATTAATTGTGGGATAATTTTATCAAATTTAATCTCCTCTAGTTATGATCTCAATAGGTACCATATAATGGATAGACGGAGACTGAAAACCATACAACAGTGACCGAGTTCATTATTCTGGGGTTAACAGATAATCCTACACTATGTCATGCCCTCTTCTTTGTGGTATTTTTAGCAGTCTGTATAGTTACCATAGTGCACAATATCAGCCACACCCTGAATTCAGACTTCTGCTCCCCGAACTGAGAGAAAATAAATGTCTGTTCGTAAACAATAAAGCCACCCACTTTTGGTATATATTGTTACAGCAGCACTAAGTAACTAAGATTGAATCTGATACCAGAGAGTGGGGGTGCTACTCTAACAAATACCTAAAATGTGGAAGTGATTTTAGAATTGGGTAATGCATACATACTGGAGGGATTTTGATGTGCTTGAATAGTAAGAGCCTGGATTGCCTTGAAGAGACTGTTGGTAGAATTATAGACATTAAGGGCAATATCAGCTTAATTATCTTAATCCAAAGCAGCCCTCAGCTTCACACCCCAATGCACCTTTTTCTCAGCCATTTGGCCTTTGTGGACATTGGATACTCCACATCAGTCACACCAATCATGCTCATGGGTTTCTTAAGGGAGAGAACTACTATTCCTGTCTCTGGCTGTATAGCACAGCTTGGCTCTGATGTCACTTTTGGTACTACAGAGTGCTTCCTGTTGGCTGCTATGGCCTATGATCGCTATGTGGCCATATGCTCACCTTTGCTCTACTCCACCCAAATGTCCCCAGTGGTCTGCTTCTTATTATTGGGGGCTTCCTACCTGGGTGGATGTATGAACGCTTCATCATTTACTGGCTGTTTAATGAACTTGTCCTTCTGCGGACCAAATAAGATCAACCATTTTTTCTGTGACCTCTTCCCACTTTTGAAGCTCTCTTGTGGCCATGTTTACATTGCTGAAACATCTCCTGCTATCTCTTCTGGGTCAGTTCTTATAAGCATACTGTTTACCATAATTGTGTCCTGCATCTACATCCTCCACTCAATCCTGAATATGCACTCTACTGAGGGGAGGAACAAAGCCTTCTCTACCTGCACTTCCCACCTCACTGCAGTCACTTTGTTTTATGGGGCAGTTATTTTGTTTATGTGATGCTCAAGTCAGGCTGTTCAGCTGATCAGGTCAAAGTGGCATCTGTGATCTACATGGTGGTGATACCCATGTTGAACCCTCTCGTCTACAGTCTGAGGAACAAGGAGGTGAAAGAGGCCACTAGAAAACAGTCATTTTTCTGAATTTAATAGAGGTAAATTCATAAATAACAAAAACAATGATTAGGGGAATCTATGTGCTGGATATTTTAAAGATATTTGTCATTAAATTTGTTACTTTTATGATGAAGATAGCCTATAAATATAAAAGTCAATGTTTATTTCCATTTATAAAGTTAAGTGTGTAATTTTCATGAACACTTGCTGGGATCAAATTATATGTGGGTTTTTCAAGTTAAGAATACCTCCAGAAAATATTTTCTGCTTAAAACCTCTTCCACTCACCAATTACAGAGTCTATGACTACAGAGACATATTTAAACCAACATTCATTTTTAGTTGAATGCTAACTTGTAAAATAATATTTGGGAAAGAAACTTGTCCCCCAGTAGAGATGGAATAGATAGTAATATGGATCTGTCAGTCATTACAGGTCACTTCCTTTATAATCCTTACTCTACCCTGGTCAACAGATGTTGAAACTTTTGGAAATAGAGATGGTAGTGTCTCAGAATAGGGTCAGTATGAGTTGGAAATGACTTGAAGGCAATGAGTTAGTGTCTCAGAATTACATCTGTTTTCACTTTATTTAAACTGTAGGGTGGATCCTACAGCCAATCACTTTTGAGTTACAAAAGGAATGGAATAGACACAGAGACACACACTCGGGAAAGACATACACTAGGGAAAGACAGACACCAGGAATAGCAAGGGACTACTGAGAAGGAAAGACCTCCTTCTAGAGCCACACACTGAATTCAGACTTCTGGTCCCCTGAACTGAGAGAAAATAAATGTCTGTTCATAAAAAATAAAGCCACCTACTTTTGGTAGTTTTTGTTATAGCAGCACTGACTAACTAAGATTGAATTTGATACCAGCAAGTGGGTGTGCTACTCTAACAAATACCTAAAGTGTGGAAGTGATTTTAGAAATGGATGATGAATAGAGGCTGGAGGGATTTTGATGTGCTTAAATAGTGAGAGCCTGGATTACCTTGAAGAGACTGTTGGTAGCATTATGGACATTAAGGGCAATGAGGATGAGGGTTCAGAAATAAATGGGAAATCCAGTAGAGAAAGCTTCTGTTATCCTGAACAGAATGTTGCTAGAAACGTGGAGGTTAAATGTGCTTCTGGTGGGGCTTTAAAAGGAAATGATAAACATGTCATTGGACACTGGGGGAAAGGTGATCCTTGTTGTAAAGTGGCAATTAACTTTTCTGAATTATGTTCAAGTATTTTTTGAAAATTAGAACTTGTAAGTGATGAACTTGGATATTTGGCTGAGAGGATTTCTAAGCAAGATCTTAAATATGTGGCATGGTTTCTCCTTTTTACTTATAGTAAAATGTGGAGGAAAGAGATAGACTTAGAAATGAACTGCGGAAAAAGAAATAAGAACTTAAAGATTTGAAGAATCCTGTTGTAAAAACTAAGCTTTCCTTGGAAAGGCTGTGGCTATACAACCATTTGCTAAAGAGGTTAGGCCTGTGATGATGGATCTAAGCAACCATCTCAGCAGAGACCCTATCAGCTTAG